CTCTCGCATATCCGACATCTCAGGTACCGCAAACCTCCGGTTCCGGTTCACGTTTCGAATTTTTACCTAATCAGATGCAGGAAGTGTGAAGGGTTTTAGAAGTTGTAGTTGTAGCACCATCCCGAGTTAAATCCTTTATTCGACTCGTCAGTGTGTGTTACCCATAATCCACCTCTCTCCTCTCGTTTCTGGTCTGCAGTAACAAAGGCATGGAGCACCTTTCCAGTATGAAGCGGAAGAACGTCGTGCTGCTGTATGACCTGCTGCTGGAGATGCTCGACGCCAACACGGCTCACAGCAGGCGCGTGTCCAGCGGCGCGCGCTCGGACCCCGCCACCCGAGAGACCGCGCCGAACACGCACGGGGTCGTGACCCCAGTGACCTCGCCGAACACACCCACGCCCCCTCAGATCCACAGTCCCGTCGCTCATCAACTCACACAGGTGAACGAGTCACAGTGCAGCCAGGACTGAGTGCTATTCCAGTCTCACACACACACACACACACACACACACACACACACAGAGACTCATCCATGGATACACACGTCCCTCTGGCTACCAAATTCTTTCCCATTTCACATTTAAGCTCTTGAAGTAAAGTTTGCTCGGTCAGCCCTAGCTCGATCAGGTGACCCAGAATGCATTGCAGCTCATTTCCTGCTCACAATCTGGCGAAGGTTCTTTATAGTTACTGTATTTTCCAGACTATAATAAATTTATATAGAAATTGTTTTTGCAGTAGAGTAATTGTAGGCGTCTACAGTTGGCCTGCTGCTCTAACACGTATACTAGTTTGCCCTTTTGTTATAGTCTTATAGCTCTAACCTAACAATAAACACACACCGTAGCCGTGTTACCGGAAATTAGCGTCAGTGTAGGAGCAATAACCCGAAAAAAAAAGATAAGGTTTCAGCAGTAATGTTTGCTGTGTGCTAGTGACTTATCACCTTATAAGTACAGCCAATAATAATAATAATAATAATAATAAAACTTTAAGACTTTGATTTAATATGCCCGTTTTGAGAAATTAATTCTAAATTAAAAGTATTTCATATCGTGTTGTTTAAAGATATCAAAGCACAGGTATGTGTATGGGGACACACATAGTGCTTACGTTGTGTTACAGAAATTAATTTCCTATTTATTGTCAAAACATCATGACCATCAGAAGCAGCAGAATCCTACTGGATTAATTTTAAAGTTGATCTGAAATCTAAAAAAAAATAAAAAAGTTTCCCATAAATAAACAGTAACTCAATCCAAATAATCCAGTTATATACAAAGTAGTGAACAATTTAAATGTGTATGCTAACAACACACATCTGTGTGAAGTAGATTGAAACGAGATGTTCATTCGGTGGTTAGGGTTAATGTGGTTTTATTTGGCACGTATGTTTGACGTTAATTCTTCTGTCCTCGCATCCATAGTGAGAGACAAGAAACAAGACGTCAGTTAGAGTAACGAGAACCTCACGATTGTCTTAAAGCTCAGGAAACAGTACAGTGATGAACCTTCTGTAACACTAACGAGACAAAAGCTAAACTAGGACAGAATAGACTACAGCAGTAGTACACCATTATAGAGTGAAATATTTATTTGGGTGTTTGGTAGTCCAGAAAATACACTACAATCCTACAATCCAAGTCTGTTTTTTTTTTTTATTTTTTATTTGCACTGCTCATCCCTCCATCCCTCCTTCTCCTGCTCTGTGGTGCTACGTACATCTGAACTGAGAGGAGATGTTTTTTAAAGCGCTAAATATGAGCGGACTCTTTAACTGTTCCCTTTCTGTGCGGGAGGATCAGGAGCGTGTGACGTGAACTTACGGAACGGATCTGCCCAAGCGCCTTCGGTTTGGAAACCCCGGAACGCCCCGGACTTTATACGGACATTACCACTGAGGTAACGCACGATTTCTCCACACAGGTGTCGCGGTTTCACTCAATCGATCACGACCCAGTCTCAAATCAAAAAGGGACTTTTTTTTTTTTTTTTGGGTAAATTTCTAAAGCCAAGGTACGGAAATCTCAACACCAAATCAACACTGTTTGTGTTTGTGCCGCCGTCTGAGCCGCTGTAAATAACCTGATTGTATCGCAGAATCCGTTGATGCAACAACTCGCTGCAAAAAAACATGAATGCAATGAAGACGTGTGTAGTTTTCTTAAATGTTTTTTTTTTTTTTTTTGCTGCAAACTTGCACAGGAGAGTGTAAAACGTTTAAGGCCTGGATACTCGATCCTGATTTTGCTTCAGCAACGTAGCTACGTTTACACGCAGACTGATCTCTGATGATGATGGCTCAATTAGAAAAGAAAAAAAAAAAGGGAATCGAATAAACCGATTTAAAAATGCAAATTTAATTTTCTTTAAAATTTGCTTAATAATAATTTAAAGTTTTGTTTTTTTTTAAATCCACTTACTTTTACAGTTGCATCCTGACCAATATGGCAGCTAAAAAAAAAATGCATCTTAAAATGGAAGGAAGGAGTAAATCAATGCAGCACATTTTAAAATACCTGAGAATTTGGATTCTTTGTTAACAGAACAATAACTAACTAACTAAATTTACCCTCAGCTTGTTAATATGGTTAATATGATACTAGCTATGCCATGACGCAGCTGTGGGTGTGTTTAAATAACGTAATTCTGACGAGCACGTTTATTGCGATGTGTAGAATTAATAAAAGTAAATTCATTTCAGGTACGCTAATTCCGTTTCTGTTTCTGCCGGGGTCACAGAGCTTGAAATGAAGAAACTAGCTAAATCTGTAGCATGGCAATATTGCAAATCAGTTTAAAAAAAAAAAATTTTATTTTTTAACTTGTTGCATTCGCGACGTTAACACTTGTTTTAAAGAAACCCTCTTTAGGGTGTAAATATGTTTTATGCAATGCATATAGTACGTAAAACGTTACGTGCCTAAACACTGAAATGCGATTTAATCTAATTTATATGATTGATGAGCAGCGCAATATTTGCACTAGTATAAAGTATGAGAATAAAGACTTAATTTCTGAGCCACTTCCAAGAAAGTTATTGTGGCTTATATTTTGCACTATTTAACTACAGGTGATGGCAGAATCGGCGTATTCAGGTCTTAAATGTCGAAGTGTTTATATGTGATTTATATTCATGTGTATTCTGTCTCAGCAGCATTCTCCTGATAATAACAGGAAAAAAAATTGTGTAAATCGTAAATAACTCAACGACGACGTGTATGAGGTGTGGCAATGTGTAATTTATCGTGTCGTAAAATCACTGTACTTGTCCGTGGCGTACTTCTTCAATCTCGCCAGACTGTTAGACAAAAAAATAATAATAATAATAAAAAAAAAATACCAGTTCTTCAGTGCACTCTGGCTAAACAGCTTTATTTGTCAAGAAATACAAATTGACTTTAAACTATACATCATAATCATAAATAGTTAAAACTGTACACACTCTTATTCTCGGCGCGTCTGTACTATGGCTTTCGTTAGGTGCCAGACAGCTGGTGTGAGAAATAAATAAAATATTATTTTTATTATTGTTAAATAACTATATAACAAGCAGACGGTTTTAGTAGTACAGCGTATATACAATGCTTTTTTTTTTTCCCGCTTTCTGTATCCAAATATATCCTTATAGCCTCGTTATCTAAATCGCTCATCCTCCTCAGCGGCTGAAAAACTAAAAGTGAACATAAAAATTCTTTGTTCGAGAGAAAAATGTGGATTACAACCAGTGATGCACTAATACTTCACGACAAGTCAGTACTTTTTTTTTTTTTTAATAGGATTTTAAAAATATCTTTACGCGCATGCACATTGTGAAAATAGAAGGGTAAGTCAATCTCCACTCGGTGTTTCCTAAATTTCACGGCTTTCTGTGATAAAAATACAATAATGGAGCGTCCGACGCCAAGACAACGTTTTTACAGCTATCACGTGTAAATATGAAATATTTCATTATCGTAAAACTGATTTTCAGTAATGATGTTTGTTCTTAATGGTTCCTTCCAAAAATAGAATTTTTTTTGTCTTCTTAATTTAAGCCTAAATGTGTCTATATACATTTTTTTTTTTTTTACACTGACAGTCACATAATTACTACAAATGGTGTAGATGTGTTAAATATCACAAGGGCTGGTTGCTCATGTAGGAGGAGGGCCATTGGTGTAACGCAGCATGGGGTAGAAGGAGCGGGCGAAGTTGTTGGACAGGGCGCAGCTGTAATCGTCCTCCGACGCTGGCACCAGGCACGCCAGCACTAGCAGCAGCAGGAAGAGCAGGTGAAGGGGAAATGCAGCTCGCAGAACCCGGTATAGGAACGGCCTGCTGCGGGAAACGTCCCTGCACGGCAAAAAAAAGTGTGATGTGATTGAATTGTTAGCGATTTGTGTCTTTCATACACCAGCTGGGTCCATCAGATTAAAATTAGACTGACTTTTAAATGTTTAACACAGGTTGATTTTCTAACACCAGACGAGGTATTTGTTATTTAACCGTCACACACACACTTTAATTACATACTTAGTACTTGCAGAAGGTCTCCTCTCACCAGCTCTCGACTCCTACAGGTAAAAGAGGTAAGGGAGTAAAACGTCAGCACTTTCTTCCCAAAACAGAAAGCAGCTCTTTATCTGTGTTGTGTGTGTTTATGCTCTGTGCTGTTACCATGTCCATTAGCGCTGGGTCTCTCGCGTGTACGTTGTCCACTGATGAGCCTTCGCTCTTCTGTAATGCAGATTGAAAATTCAGCAGCTGAGTTATTGGGTAATTAAAAGTACGCTTTCCAGGAGATTTCACTGCCCTTCCACACAAGACATTTTTTGAGTCGGTGTAGTGTGTTAGAGCAGCGAAAACACTGAGGTCTATAGTTTGGAAGCTGTGTTTCTGTTCCTCTCTTGGCTGCTCTGAGGTGGGGGTCACCATAGCGGATCATTGGTCCGCGGTTTTGATTTGGAGGTTTTTACGCGGGATGCTCTTCCTAATGCAACCCCGGGGGAGGCTGGTTCCCTGGGCAGGAATCGAACCGGGGCCACAGAGGTAAGAGCCCTGTGGCCTAACCACTAGGCCGCCAGGAACCTGCACTAGCCTGGAAGTAAGTAAAGGCACCTCTTTTTCTTCCCAGTGGGTGGGATGCAATACATGTGTCTGAAAGTGTCTAAAATACAGCCAAATCCTCCACATCCCACCCGTCCAGCGGGTGGGATGCAACATGTGTCGCAAAGTGCGTAAAAGTACACGCAAAAAGACCGCTTCCCACCCGTCCCGTGGGTAGGAAAAGAAGCATACACCCTTGCTTTTACATAGACATACAGACAAGTAGGTGTGTATGTCCACATGTGCGCTTACACACACACCCCACCCTTCACTCTCAGCTGAGAGTGAAGGGTGGGGTGTGTGTGTAAGCGCACATGTGCACCCTACACAACAGTGTCTTGTACTTACCAGTCTGGTCTTCAGGGTGTTGAGGTCATGGCTCATCTGTCTGAGAAGGAGGCAGAGCTTGTTGTTAATGACATGAACCTTCTCCTTGGCCTCCATGCTCTCCTCACCCTGTTCCACGTGCAGGATGTAGGAGGAGATCTGCTGCAGCGTCTGCACCTCCTCCTCCCGGCCCAGGAGCTCGCGCTGCACCGCCTGTACAGAAACACAGATGCTTACTGTCCACTTCATCACACTAATTAACAGCATAGCGCCTATAAAAGAAACAGCGCACACACACCTTGAGTGTATCTCTGTGCTCCTGCAGTACATTAACATCCACATTGGGGTCATGAATATTCACCATGTAGCGCTGACTCTCGGCTCGGGCCAGCCACAGCAGTAGAGAGTGCAGCGTCTCGTGGAACTCCTGAGGGTTAAGGATCAGAAAAAAAAAGCTGTTTTAACCATTGAAATTCTCAGGGTAACGTTTTCTCTGTATTGACCCTTAATTGAAGGTTACAGAATGTTAGTGATTAGTTTCCCCCACCTGACACTGCAAGAGCTGGAGGTGCAGTTGGTTCTCCCAGGTGTCAAGCGCAGCACAGGCCTGTGTCCACTTCTGATTGGCTGCCTGCAGCTCTAACTTCAGCTCCTGCACCTCTGCACCTTCTCCTCGCAGGAGGCGCCGCCCACTCAGGTTCACGCCAATCATCAGAGCCTTGTAGCTGCCGAACATCCTCTGGCTCTCCTTGGAGGTAAAGAAGGAAAAAAAAAATTTAATCATCCTCTTTTCTACATCTGGGTTGAAAAGAATAAAACATTGATTGTACCTTGAGCTTGCAGATGCTGCTCTCCATGTCTCGAATGCTCGGGTGCTCCTTCCCTCGCTGAAGCCTCTCCAGTTCGGGAAGCACACGGTCCAGCCAGGTCGTGATCTCTCCAAGGTCAGAGGTCAACTTATGATGATTGTGCTGAGCGCCGAGATCCTCGCCGTTAGCCTGCGTTCGAGCCTGGAGGATCTCCCATCTCTCAATCACTCCTGACAGAAAAAAAAAAACGTGTGTTGTTTTTATAAACAAACTGGAACATTTCTACCGAAATGGCTCCGTCTTGGTAGAGCACACGGATGTGTGCACAGGACAGAAAGAAACCCACACACCTCTCTGTTTGTCTGCAGTCGACAGGATGGTCAGACCCTGACCCTCGAGCGGCTCGTCATCGTCCAGGATGTGTTTGACTCGCTTCACGTTGTCTATGCTGTCAGTGCACTCGGACATCAGCTTAGCCTGCACACACCAAAGACGTGAAATAAAACATCACACACACACATCTAAGATGCCAGCTGTGATGCATGTTTCTCACTAACCGATGTTTACATTCTGTAATACCAACTGATGAGAGTGGATAGTGTGTGTGTGTGTTCTAAGCCCTCATGGAGATACTTTAGATGATTTGTGTGTGAAGCACAGTGGGCGTGTCTTCAAGCCCATATATAGTTTATTTGATAACACTAGATGATGTAAGTTTTTCTCAAATATTCTCTCAGGTTAGCTCCTGTGACACAAACACAGGAAGCATGACTACATCTCGTCAACCCTGCTTAGTAAACATTCTTCAGCATTCATGATAAGAAATGATGCCTCGTGTGATGATCTTTCTCCTTGGTGAAGTTGTAATCACAAGGATAAACATCTCCTCGGCCCAGTTACGCATGTGAATGTATTTTGTTAAGCTACAAATAAAGGAAGCAAGACTTACAAACTATGTTGTTAGCTTTTTCTACTTAAAATCATGAATCCATATATGGAATCAAAGACACGCCCACATCTGAGACACCCTGCTGTTTCTGTGTGGAGTATGATGAAGTCACTAAACAGACTAACATTTACAAGTGTGTGTGTGTGTGTGTGTATACACACGTACATATCCCTCAGGATGGTAAGAAGCACCGATGTGTGTAGGGGTCGAGGTCAGGCTGTGGATGATGCGTTTCCTGTCCTGCCAGCTGGGCTCCGTCACTGAGAGAGGCGAGATACATTACTGTTATTAATATTACATATAGTAATCATGGTTGCCTTATCAAACAGGAAGAATGCAAAACAAAAAAAAATTCAAATACTTAACGGAAATAAAGTGCACCATGTCGTCTGAGAAAAGTAATGGAGGCAGAAATACACACAGCCAAGAGGAGGATGGAAAATGTTTACTGTAGTCGATCAGCCAAGAGGTTCAGTGGTTTCTTCGTTTTTCAGCAGCTAATTACGAATTAAAGCTAATAATTAGCATTCCAGCAAGGATACGGGTTTTTTGACAATGTGTGATGTATAATTACATCAGGATACTTACAGTATGTGTTAAATCAGAACTTCTGCTGTTATATAAAATGATTTACGTTGTATTGCTTAGCCAAATAACATCATCTGACAATTTCAGTGCAGCTTGATGCCAACTGGTGGTCATAAAGTTCCTTATTTGTTAGCCACCAAACAAAAACGCCTTGGCAGATCGACTTTATTTTAAAAAAAAAAGGAGTTATTACGGGACTTAAACAGGATTCTCGCACACGCAGTCCAGGATACACTGAGGGGGTGGGTTATAAATCATACATAATTCATGGCCAACACTCAGAAGCACACGTGTGTGTAGCATGCAGCAGGCTGGAGCCTACCAGATGCAGCACTCAGAGCTCGAGCTGTAGCTTTAATAAAGGACTCAGAGCTCTCAGTGACCTCTACATCTGTAACAGAGGAGCGGCACAGATACGGTCCAGTCACAAAGAACTCTAAACCTTTACACTTCTGTAAATCTGCCAATGAGGAGCATAATTCAGAAGATAATCAGGACACCTGCTGTTTTACAACAAAACGTCCTGATGCACTCAGCAGAAGCGTGGAGAAGCAGAGGACCTGATTAGACTACTGAGATTGACACTTTATGTTTAAAATACATCTTTCTTGTCACAAATTATTATTAAAAAAGTATGTAATTATTTTGAAAACTATTTCATGAGTGTTTTTTTTTTCTTTACTAAGTTCAACAAATCTTTATTGCGTTGTTGAAATTTTGAGGAGGATGTGGGATTTATTATGTGTATTCTATTTTTTTCTATGAATAAACAATCTTGATAAATACAGTATTGGGGGGGAAAAAGGTTTTCAATTATCTAAAATATTTACAGAAATGTATTTTAAACGTTTTTTTTTTTTTTAAATATGTCCTAGATCATTTTAAACATGTAGTTTAGAAGCTGGACACGGGCAGGTTTGAGAGCGGTCACTGTACCTGAGAGTGCGCTGTAGTACGTGGCCTCATCTTCGTCCTCGGGGGAGGAAGATCCGCCCACGTCCACCGTGTGGTCCCACTCGAGCGGTATGGAGTCCACGCTGACCGGCGTCTCTCGGCCCGACGGCTCGAGCGAAGGAGGGAAGAGGACACACGCTGAGGGCTGGACGGATACCGGCGTCGCCGCGTCCTCCATGTCGACGTCTCTCTCCCACACGCCGTTCAGCTCTGATGAGTCCTCCATATCCGGGTCTCTGTCTGAGAAATCGCGCTCGTCATCTACGACCTGACGGAGAAATACTGAAGGTTAAAACACAGAAAACTTCTTCACTGTATAATAATAATAATAATAATAATAATAATAATAATCTCTACGGTATGCGTGAGAGACGGACCGGGCGTGTGTTGACGAGGCGATGGTGGAAGCGTGCGACTCGGCTGAACACCTCCTGGCAGTAAGAGTGCAGCTCCTCCAGCTCGTCCTCGATCAGCACGGCGTCCAGCGGGGAGCTCTTCTGGATCAGTTTCTCTCCGAACACGATCAGAGAATCGATCTTATTCGTGTTCAGAGTGATCTCCTGCTGGAACGCCTACACGGCACAGACATACACGTTATTTAGCATAAACACGGAGCTGTCCACGTAAAATCACAGAAATTCTATTTCAAATTCCTTATTATAACAACGATGACCGATATAAGACACACAAAAGCCTTTCCCATGCTTAAAAGTCTTAAACTGTTCTTCTAAACATAATTTCAAATATTTTCAGTAGAGATATCAGTGTGAGAACCCGATGTGATATTTAGCTAAGAAGGTTAAGTTTGAGTGTAAAAACTCGTACTGACTTTGAGTTGTCTCATCTTGTCGTGGACGTCACTTTCGGAGAAGTGCTCGACGTTAGTGAGCTGCAGGTCCATCTCAGTGAGCCACACCAGAACGGCGTCCCTCGTTCCCTCAAACTCCTCCCTCTGAGATGTGAAGTGCTGCAGAGAGCAGAATAGAGATCTGTCTATGATTGATTCTCTTTTCCAACGTCACGTTCTTAAAGTTTAAAGACTCGTGTTACAACTTTAAAAAGTTGAAAACATTGCAAACTTGAAATCTTCTAGGGGTTAAGATTTGTCAAGTTAACATTTTCTAATGTAACAATTCAAAAGTTGAAAATTTCCAATGTTATGTTTGTAAAGTTCAAATTCCCTAATGTTAACGCTGTAGTATTCTATACACCACTCACTTCCAGTGCACTCTGCATGTGACAGACTTGTGATCACTCCAGAGATTCTCAGCTTAAATTAAAACTCAACTAACACACCAATGTAGGTTTGTAACTAACTAATGCTAGTTGCTTTAACAGGAATCTGGCGATACAC